CAGGGTCGGCGGCGCAGCAGGCAGGCAGGCGTGGCGCCTCACTCGCCCGCGGCACGCTAGCCGCCCACCCAGCCACCCCCGCCCCGGCCCCGTGGAAGCGCGCAAGGCAGCTTGGCAGGCTCGGGAAGGAAGAAAGACAGGAGCCTGCCAGCCTCCCGCCCGAGCTCACTTGCGCGCAGCGTCCTTGAGCACAGCGCGGGCAGCGGGGCGCTCCAGCCGCAGGTCCTTGAACGCCTGCTGCACACGCTGCCTGTCCTGGAATCCAAACCCGTCGATGCCTGCAGGACAAGTGGGCAGGTCGGGGCGGGAGTGGGCAGGGGCCGGGTTGTGAGCACTGCTATTTCTTCCTGACTAGATGGACCAGAACGGCAGCAGCAGCACCCACAAACACCTGCCGACAGCAGCGGCAGCAGCACCCACACAGCAGGGCACCAAAAATGCAGCACCCACAAAGCCCCCCCAGCAGCAGCAGCAGCTGGCAGCAGCGGCGGCGGCGGCACCCACCAGCAGCCAGCGCGTCCGTCACCGCATCCTTGAACAGCGCGCCGCACAGCTCCGCATGCATGCGGTCCCGCTCCTCATTCTGGATGCACAGCTGGACCTGCGGGCGGGAAGAAAGCAGGGACGAAGAAAGAGAAAAGAAAGTGAGGTCGAGCACGAGGAGGGCGGGGGGGTGTGGGCACACGGCCCGTGGTTGCTGGTGTTTGTTCAAGGGGGGAGGGTGCAGCGGCGGCGCGTTGACCGACGTTGGACCAATGTTTGACCACCGTTTGACCAGCCACGCATGCGGCAGCGCCCAGTGCAGCAGCCCACCTGCATCTCCCGCAGCGCCACGTCATCCTCCTCAGTCAGCTTCTTCTTCTCCAGCAGGGACGCCAGCTTCTGGCGGTACAGCGCCTCGTGGAAGGCGCGGGCGGCGTCTGCGGGCGGTACGGCGCGGTACGGCACGCGCACGTGTGTGAGGGAGGCATGGAGCGTATGCGGCGTTGTTCTTGTTTCTTTTCTGTTGTGTGTTTGTGTGTGTTGGGGGGCGGGGGCGGGGGCGGGGGCTCCAGGAGAGGCGCGCTCTGCGCCCCGGGCCCGCGCCCCACAGCGTGCAGCGCACAGGGGCAAACGCTCCAGGCCCCACACACCGCTCCCCCACACCCCTCCCTCTCCTCCTCCCCTCCTCTCCTTCTTTTCGTTCTTTCCTCCTCACCTGCGTCAAACCTCACCCTCTCCACCAAGTCCCCAAGAACCTCCGCCTTGCTCTCGGCGGCGGCCAGCCGACCGGTGGTCACCTCCTCGCGCAGCAGGCGCCTGCAGTGGGTGGGTGTGGGCGGGTGGGCAGTGGGTGGGTTGTTGGTGGGTGGTGAGCGGGAAGGGAGTGTACATGCGTATAAGTGGCGGGTGGGAAGTTTAGTGGTGGGTGTCGCGGAGGCGGGTGCTGCGGGGGCCGGTGGGGGCGGCCGCAGCGTGCGATTTGCGGCAGCTGGCAATCCCCGCCGCCGCGAAGGCGCGCGCGCGCACGCAGGCACCAACCCACCCACGCCTGTGGTTCCTTTTCGCTTTCCTTTCTTTCCCATCTACCCTTCCCCCTGCTTTCTCAGGCCCCGCGCGCTCACGGGCACCCCCGCCTTCCTACCACCCCGACCACGCTCCACCCCTCCGGCCGAGCTCCCTGCCTCGGGCGGTACCGGCGGCGGTACCAGCGCCTGTACCGCTCACTTGTAGGCCGCCTGCTTCACGTCCGCCTCGATGTCGGCGCACTCCTTGTTGCCCAGGCCCATCAGAGTGCGCAGCTGGGCAGCGTCTGCCTCGAGGCCGTCGGTGAAGGCGCCGTCGGACAGCAGGCGCTCCTCCAGGAAGATTCTGCGGGGTGGAAAGTGCGGGGCGGGGGAAGAAAGCGCGGGGGAAGAAAGCGCAGGGCGAGAAAGGGTCAGGGAACAGGAAGGGTCTGAACAAGCAAGGGTCGGGGACAGGAAGGCCGGGATGCTTAGAAGAAGCAGCGGGCGGGCGCAGCAGTGCAGCCGCCGGCGGCAAGGACGGCGGGGGGCTGGGAGGGAGGGGCGGGGGGAGGCGCAGCGTGCGGCGCGGCGCGGCGCGGCGGCAGGCTGGCAGGAAGAAAGAGCAGGAGGACAGCGCGGCAGGGCCGGTCAGCAATCTCGTGTAGAAAGGGTCAGCGCCAGGCCGCCGCAGCGGGCCTGGTCTCTCTAGGAAGGCAACATGTGTGTCATCACCCCGGCCCCGTGGGAGGATGCAGGCAGGCAGGCAGGCAGGCGCGGTGGCGGCGGCGGCGGCACGATGCAGCGGCAGGGTGCAGGGCGCAGCCAGGCGCGGCGCAGCACGCGGCGGCTGCAGCGGAGGCAGAGCTAGGCCCGCACACACGCACACACAAACACACACACACACAGGCACACACTCCCTCCCTCCCTCCACACACACACAATCACACACACACAGGCACACACGCACACACAAACACACACACACACACAAACACACTCCCTCCCTCCCTCCACACACACACAATCACACACACACAGGCACACACACAGCCACACACACAACACACCAGCCCTCTCACTTGAACAGCTCCCGAGTGTCCTTGCTGCGCCCATCTGCCGCCTCCCAGGCGCCACCTAGCACCGAGGTGGGGCCCACGCCGGCGATGACCTCGGGGTCTGAGGAAAGCGCGGCGAGGCCGCGGTTGAACGCGACGGCGGCGGTCAGCGCGGCCATCGCCTCTGCGGCGGGCAGGAAGGGGCGGGGGAGGGGAGGGAGGGAAAGGAGGGGGTGATGAGTGGGACGGGGAGGGGGGAGAGGCGGGGGGAGAGGCAGGGAGGGGGAGGAGACGGGAAGCGGGAAGCGGGGTGGGCGCAGGGCACTTGGGATAGTTTGGTACTGGGTTAAGCTCAGCGGGCGTGGAGGCAGTACCACTGCGGCACCGCCACGCTGGCGGCAGTACAGCCGGTACCGTCCACCCACCCGTGTAGTCCCGCGTGCGCGTGCGCTGCTTGGTGCTCTTCACCGCGCTCTCCAGCAGCTCTTCCACGCGAGCCCGCGCCGCCTCCTTGACGAGCGCCGCCGCCTCGTCGTCGGCCAACCGCGCCGCCGCCTGCGCCTGGCGCAAGCCCACCAGGAAGGCCTTGTCGGCCTGCGGGAGGGAGGGGGAGGGAGAGAGGGGAGGGAGAGGGAGGGAGGGCGAGAGAGGGAGGAAGAGGAGAAAGGTGAGGACGTGCGCAGGTTGGACGACAAACCACAAAACCCGCTTCAGTGCTGCTGCGGCGGCACGCAGCCTGCTGCTGCCCATGCACGCACGCACGTCGCACACGAGCGCACAGGCAGGCAGGCGGCGGCGCAGCGCCGAACCTGCAGCTGCCCGCCGTGGGAGTCGAGGTACTGCTTGAAGATGCCCTTGGCGTTGTCCCGCTTGGCCACGTACACCTGCGGTACAATCGGGCGGTACATGTGCGGGCAGCATGGTCAGGGGGCGCGGGAGACGGCATGCCGGGGAGGCAGCGCGGGGCAGGCACGCGGGCAGCCAGGCGCCTGGGGCGGCAGCGCAGCCGCAGTGCACATCCACTCATCCATCCACAAAACCTTCGACCGGATCAGAGCAGACCGATACCAATCAACCGAAAATGAGCCGTCTCCGAGCGCCCCCGGAACAAGAACCAAGCAGGGCGGGCAGGGCAGGGCAGGCGGCGGGTGCAAAAGCAAGGTGGGAGGATGCAAGCAAGGCAGGAGCACACACACGACAGGCGGGCGCTTGCCTGCGCCTCTGTCAGGCCGAACACGCGGGTCCAGGGCAGCAGGAAGGCGGCCTGGCGGTCGCCAAACACCAGGTTGGACACGTAGATGAGCTTCTGGAAGGTCTTGCGGGCCTGCGGGGGCGGGGTGGAAAGGAGGCGGGGGTGGATGGGAGCGGGTAGAAAGGAGCAGGCAGGCGGGCATCTGCCTGCTGCGCCAGGATGCAGGCAATGAGGCGCGCGGGGGCGGGGAGCTTTGGGGGGAGCCTCGGCGGCACGCGCCGTAAGCAGCAGCAGCCAGCCCTGCCCTCTCCCCTCTCCCCCTCGCCCTCGATCCCCCCCGTCCCCCCGCCCCCTGCTCCCGCCCTCCTTGTCCAACTCCTCTCCCTGACACCCTCCACGGCCCAGCAGCCGCCACTCACGTCCTCCCCCTCCCCTGCTCTCCCCCACTCCTCTCCCTCACCCTCTCCCTAAACCGGCCTCCCCACCCTCCCCACCCCTCCCAAGCCCAGCACCCACCTCCACATCGTCCGCCCGGCTGCCCGCCTCCATGCGGCCGCGCAGGATGCGGCGCCCCACTTCGATGTGAGCGGGGGCGGCATCCACGTCGCTGAGGGCCAGGGCGGCCTTGAAGGCCTGCGGGCGCAGGCAGGCGGCGGCGGGTCAAAAACAGCGGGCGGCACGTGCGGCCGGCAGGGGTGGAGGCGGGGGGCCGGAGGCGCGGGCGTGCAGAGGCCCCCGGCACGCGCAGCCTGCGCGCCGTCGCTGCGCCGCCGGCCGCTGAGGTACCGCCACGGTACCGACGGACCCACCTGGATCAGCACCGGCTCGGAGCCGGTCAGCGGGGCGTCCCCGGGCGGGACCACCGCTTCCAGGAAGGCGCCGTAGATGGACTTGAGCTCGTCTGGGTTGGTGGCTGCCAGGCTGGCGCCGTACTTGGCCTCGATGGCCGCCACCTGGCGCACGCGTGGAGCGCGCGTGGCGGGGCGGGCACAGCACAGCACAGCACAGCACAGCACAGCGTCAGAGGGAGAAGGGAGGAGGGAGGAGGGGGAATGGCCGGGCGGGCGGCCGCGGCGAAGAGGGCGGCCGGCGGCTGGCGCAGCGTGCGGCGGCGGCGGCGGCGGCCGCAGGCGGCGTGCACGGAAAGCCTGCAGCGCGCCTGCGGCGCGGCGGCTGGCCCCTGCTGCTGCTGCCGCCGCACACCTGCTCCCGGGTCAGGGCCGTGGGGTCTCCCATTTCGACCAGCAAGTTGGAAAGCTCGATGATGGCTGCTGACTGGCGCTTGGCCTTGAGCTGGGCGGTGAGGAAAGCGCCCAGCGCGGCGCCGGCGGCGCCCGCCACCACCCGCGCCGCCTGCCGCACGCCCTCTGCGGCCGGGACAGGCAGGAGGTGGGAGGGAGCAGGGAGGAGAGCGGCGGGTGAGAAGGGCGACCGCGGGCAGCTCAGCGTGCCTGCCGCCGCCCTGCATGCTGCCTCCTGCCTGCCTGCCTGAGGCAGCCGCCACCTGCTGGTCCAGCTGTGGCGAGCGTCGGCAGCAAGCAGGTCCACGCAGCTGCCGCTGCTTTGCTGCCGCCACTGCCCATGCCGCCACCGTCCGCACCTGGCGCCACGGCCCCCGCTCCCACAAAGCCGGCGCCGCCCAATCCGGCCGCCAGGGCAGCCCCCAGCACGTAAACTCCGGCGGTGGGGAGGCCGGCAAGCGCAGACTGGAGGCCGTCCATGTCTCGGGGGTACTTGAAGGGGTTCTGCGCAGCCAGGCGGCACGCACAGCCGTTGTGCATCGCTGTCAGGCGCCAACGGCGGGAGTCGGGCACCCAATGTGCCACCCAGCCGCCCCCAACCTCACCTCCACCGCTGCTGCCGAGCATTGCGAGCGCTGCTGCACCCGGCTGCACCTCCTCAGCGGCCCGATCCGCGCTGCACGCAGCGGCCGCGTGCTGCCCAGGCCAGATGGCTGCAGGGCGCCCCACCGGCACCGCGCCATGGCGGTGCTTCCCAGCACCACCTGCATTCTGGTTGATAGTGTGCTGCACGGACTGTGCAGCTGTGTATACCGCCGCAAGTGGCTAATGCTTCGCCAGATAAGCGGGCTTTCCTGCCACGGGGTCGCCCCCATCCTGCGGCCGGCAGCGCCCTTCACATGCATGCCAATGCATGCAGCTCCTCGCCTCGCTCCCCTGCCCGCGCAGGTACGATGTGGCACGCCCGCCACTGCAAGCGCCGCCGCGACTGCCGCAGCCGCCGCCGCCGGCGTGCTCGGCGTGAGCCGGGCGGCGCTGTCTCATCCATGCGCCCAGAGAAAACTGCCAGCGGAGCCTCTGGCCGTGCTGGGACGCGACAATGCATGCCATGCATGATTACTGCTATCAAAGCAACATGGGGGACAGCATGCAAGCCGGTGCAGCCAGGCGGTGCATCGGTAGTGGGTGCGCCACTCAGCGCCGCTCAGCGTCGGGAGCCTCTGCTGGCGTTGCCCGCCCAGCCCACTGCTCACCACCACTGCTCCTGGCGGACTGGCAAACCGTGTCACAGTGCTTGGGAAGGGCGCATACGTTAGCAAGGAGCGAGCTGGGCCAAGAATAGGAGCGGGGCAAAAGGAAAACGGCGGGAGGAGGAGGGTGAGGCGGCGAGGCGTCTGTGCAGTCGCATTTGCAGTGATGTCCAACGTGAATGACTGGATCCTGCTGCTCCCCCTGCTGCTGCAGCTGTGGGGGGCTGCGGGGTCGTGCGTGCGGTGGCGACATTCGTTTCATTCCTTGCTTCGCTAAGGGTGAGCGGCCGGCTGGGCTGGGCTGGGCCGGGCCGGGCTGGGCTAGGCTGGGCCGGGCTGCCCGGAATGGCGGGCAGCGATGCAAAGGCGCCCTCGTCCCCAGCCCTGCCCAGGCAGCTGGCGGCGCCGAAAAAATGGTAGGGGAGCGCTGCCCCCGCATGAACAAAAACCCAGGTCACTCGCTGGGGGTGGGCACGGGGCACGGCTCCGACTTCCAGATGTCCTTGTTGTACTGCAGTACCGGGTGGGGCAGTACAGGGGGAAGGGGGCAGTACAGCGGTCAGGGGGGGCAGGAGGCAGGGGTGGGGCGGTGGCAGGCACAGGCAAGCCTGACGTATGCGTGTGCCCCAGCCTCCCAACAAGGGACACCTGCCCCTTCTGTTCCCGCCACCTACCCGCGCTCCCCCTCTCCCCTGCACCTGTGCCCTATCCCCCAAACGCACAGCCACAGCCACGCACACACACTCCCTCCACACACACAGCCACACACAACAGCACACGCACTCTCCACACACACACAGCAGCCGCCCAGCCGCACCTCTGCGATGGTGCGGTCGGAGGAGAAGAAGCCGGAGCCAGCGGTGGACATGATGGACATGCGGGTCCAGGCGGCCTGGTCGCGGTACACCTCGTCCACGCGGTCCTGCGGTACGGGGCGGTATGAGCGGGTGCACAGGCGGCGTGGGCCGCGCGGCGCACGGGGAGCGGGGCGGGGCGGGGCGACGGCGGCAGACAGGGCAGCCGGCGGACAAGCAGGCAGCCATGGCCCATCCACACCACCCAGCTGCACACATCATACACACACAGACACACACACACACACATGCACAGCCACACACCAAACAGCAACACAGGTACACCTTCTCTCTCTCTCTCCCTCTCT